TGGGAGACAGCAGCAAGGTGTGGGAAATGGGGCCACGAAAGAAGTGTTTGTCAGCAGCCCTATGGAAGTGTGCAGTAATTCCTTAGCAGTTGTTGCCTTCTGAGCATCTAGATGAGGAATGCCTTGGAGGATGCTGCACTCCCCACTGCTTCCTTTGCAGCAAAACAAAAGCTTAGGGGTTTCAGTGTTGTGTACGCCCAAATCTTGCCCTGATCAGATTTTGAGAGTGGCCCAAGGCAAATTTGAACTCAGGAGTCTGGAAACCTGGTATCCCCTTGTCTAGACATAACTTGTTAGACCTGCTGATAATTGTATCGCTGATACTCTTTGCGTTTATCATAACATATGGAGAGTTGTCAGTATAATCTTATTATACGTTCTCCCATATGACAGTGCTGATACAAAGAGTATTATCTCCAGTAGAAGCGTGAATGTCTTTGCCTGAATCTCTTGTTCTGAAAATAGCAGGTTTCTATCTTCAGTTACACAGTAATGAGCTCTACACATAGTTGAAGTACTTGTAAGCCTTAAGTCTGAATTCATTCTCACTTTTGATTTGTTACAGTATAAATGGGTGTGAAGGTATAAAATATGTGCCTTTTTATTTTTTTTTTTTACATGATTCAATTATGCCTGTATGTAGTCTCAGGCAATGATGAGAAACTGTAATTTATTTCTTTAAAGCCTTCTTTGGGTGGAGATGAGGGAGGAAACACCTTTAAAACAAGAACAATGGATATCTGATGCACAGGAAGCTATCCAGTGAGCACCTAGCAGGCAGGGAGTGAGAAACATGTTTATTTTATTTTGTGTGCAACTCGGATAAATGTATCATTGGACAATATTATGCAGTTTTTCGTTCACTGCTTTTGAGAACTAAGCTATCTGTGTTAGTTCAGAGTGGTGAGTTAAGCTAAGTCAATATCAAACTTAAAAAGGAACATTGATACGCTCACTATCTTTGGCCTGTCGTGCCATGTGCCTTTGCAGAAGGAACTCTTGATAAGTGCAGAAAGTGCAATGAGGTGTAAATTAGTTTATTTTATTGTTTTAGGTTTTTAACTTAAAGAATTTCTGGAATTGTAGGGGGGTGTGTGTGTGTATATTCTAAGGTAATATCTGGATATACGTATGTGCTAAGTGGTGTGTGTGTAAAGAATTCCTGTCTTTTCAGATTTAGGTCAGCTAAGTAAATGTATGTTTGAATAAAAAGATGCAGGAATTAAAGTAATTCAGAGGATGAATGGAAATAAAACTTTGAATTGGCATCCTGCAAACAAAATACTTTGTCTCTAGTTAGCCATCCTTTCCTGTGCTTACTGATCTTTGTTAGCAGAAAACATGCATTGTGGGAGCACTCAATCTCCTAGTAGTTTTAAATCTGAGATGTTGTAACTGTGACCAAATGTTGAGAAATGGGACTTTTTTTTTTAAAGGGAAGAAGGAGGAAAAAAAAAAGTCAAACAAATGCGGGGAAAACCCCTCCCAAGAGCAGTGGCACTACAGTGCATCGCTTCCAGGAACTGACCTAGATTTGCACCAATTAAAAGTTTACTTCTTGACTGATGTGAGATTGATCTGGGGGAAGCTGAGGGGAAAAGAAGAATTACTACTTAGTTAATCTCACCTTAGTCCAATTATAATTGCAATATAGCTAAATCTATACCAAATTATTTAAAATTAAAATGGTGCAAATATGAAGAAAAAACAATGGTGTTGCACTGTTACTATGCTAGGTATCATCATGAATGGGTAATAGCATTTTTCCACGTGCTTAGACTGTGCTTAGACAGATTTTGCAAGTCCAGATAAACCTGAGCAAATGTTCAGAGACAGCTAGAGGAAAATGAAGGCCTTATGTTAAAATATTGAGATGGTAGGAAATAGTAAAGCTTAAGTATTGTTGGAGGGGTTTGGTAATTCAGGAGAAGAGAATCTCAGCTCTATTTATATTTCACCTTTCTTCATAAACAGTAATAGACTACAGGACAGAAGTAGAACAAGTGTAGGATGATTGCAAAAAAGCCAGTAATGCCCCCTGAGGCTTATTTGTGCTGGAGGACTTTTTGCCATTTCAAGGATAAATGGTACAGCTAATCTGCTAGTCACCAGAGCAAGAAGTGCTGACTGTTGCCAAAAAGCTGCTGGTTCAGCATGACCAAAATAGGAAATTATGGAAGTGATCAAAAAGGCCAGCTCATGCAGACTGGACAACAGCAGAGAGCACAAACCAAATATGGAACTTACTATCACTGGTACTGAAGTTTAAATGAAGTTGGAGTGAATCCATTCCTTCTCAGTTTCCATTAAAAAAAAAAAAAAAAAAAAGTTAATAACAGATTAATTTTCAAGACTTTCCTTTTTCCATATAAATTCATGATGTCTTACAGAAGGCTTAGAGTTAAAATAAATAAATAAATAAATAAATAAATTGAACAGTCAATTTTCTTCTCTTTACTACTATTAATTCTCTGTTACCTACAGTACCATTGGATAGAGATATGCTGGTATACGATTTTGTAATCGTGAAAGTTTGTGTAGGGGGGGTGCTAAAAATTGCAGGGTATGTGGAAAGTTTCAGGCTAAATACTCTTTGTCTGTAGCATGGTATGCATTATTTAAAATATTTTGAGAAATAGGTGTTTGGGGGCTATTAAGGTAGCAACTGTGTTAGACTTCTCACATATAAGAGCTGTTACACCAATCCATTGATAACTACCAGCTGCTACATAAAGACGTTGGTAACTACATGGTGACTCAGTGCAGTCGAGAAGAATGTCCTTGAAATATGGGCTAATGTATCAAACTCATCAGTTTACATACTCTCATTTTTTCTTTCCCCAAGACATTTCAGTACAAATTAACATACGATGATGATTTTGAGATGATTTGTTTTTATCTGGTTCTTTGTACATCTTTGTACAAAGGTTCTTTGTAGTGTGGCAGGGAGCTGAGACTATTGCATCTTGACTACAGGGGTGATAAAACAACTATAACTAATTCCTAAATTGTCTTTTATTTTCATAATATTTTCTAGGTGGTTGTGGACACAGCACAGATTGAAAATAAAGAAGCCTATGCTCCTCAAATAAGCTTAGAAGGATCTAGAATAGTGGTGCAAGTTCCATCAACTTGGTAAGTGAAAGTACTGCACTGTAGATCATCCTAGTAGGTATGACAGAAATACATAGGAAAGAATACAGTGCAGTACAAGTGGAGCAGGAACTGCTATGTAATTATGGCTTATCTTCCTTAAATTCCTTTATGTGGAACTGACTAAATGCCACTATTCATCAGACTGACCAGCAGTTGTACTTGAGCTGTCTTTGTATTAATGCTCCCTCTGTTGGCGGCAGTGGAAGGGAAGCAAGGCTGGCGCACAAGAGCAGAAGAACGGTAAAAGCTAGATGAAGTTAAATAAATATAAATCCAGAAATATTCCTGTCACTCTCCCTGGCAGTCCTGGGTGCTGAGATCAATAGAAGAGTTTTAGCTCTTAACTAAGATGTTCTTTAGGTGCTGTTGTGAACTGCAGAACTCTGTGGTTCAAGAGGTGCCATTCCTAGTGGTTTAACTAGCTGCCTAGGAAAGCATAGCATTAATTTGCACTTTGAGGTGAGGTTGTCTTCCCTTTTGAAACAATAATTTGGAATTACAGTATTTCCTTTATTTCTTCAGTGTACTTGGTGTTATGAACTTCGGTGTAAAACACTGCATTCATCTGAATCCTTAGTGAGACAGCCTGTTGCTGATGGTACCAATGGTGCGTCCAGAAGTACAAGTCAGCCCACAGTCTTTATCCAAATTCATCTGTAATTCCACTATGGGTATGAACTGGCACTTCTCTATTCCCTTTAGGTAAATTGCTCTGTTGTGGAAGAACTAAAATACTGCTGAGCACTTTGTGCCAGCGTTTGGAATCTCTGAAAGAGCTCCACCTGCTGACACGCTGAGAGAGTGCCTGTTTATTTATCTCTGCTGAAGGGGCTCATTAAATAATTGACAGCTGTGCCAGTACTTAAATCCAGGTTATTCTGATCTCACCTCAAATTAAATCCTAATTCCATAGATTATTGAAGAATTACAGTAAGCATGCATCTTCACAGATCAGTAAAATCTTCCACAGATTACTGGATATGCTGAACCATTTTTCTCACTGAGTGTGTCAGGCTGGGTGTTCCTAGGATGGGACATCTAGAGTGCACTCAAGATTTACAGTTCCTGCACCTTGTCTTTTTGTCAGGCTTGTTGAGTGCTCTTGCCATTTCCTAGAAAACAGGATTTCTTGTGTTTTTTTTTATTTCCTAATATGCCTTAATCATGCCTGCTCAGCTAAACAGGAAATCATCAATCTTGATTTTGAAAAAAAAATGACAAAACTCTTGCCTACAACGAAATTTTCTTATGTACTCAACAGTTAAAAAAAAGAAACTGGGGCTGTGGTATTAGTCCTCGGGAATCCTCAGGCATTCATATGTTATACTGCCTTGCTGGTTGTACCTTTGCAGGAGCAAAAGCAGCATGTTAATTAGCCTTTCATTGTCTGACTAGCATGGTAAAATTGTTCAGTGTGGAATTCAAAGTTGTGATTTTGATTACAGGTGTCTAAAAGAAGATCCAGCAACAATGTCTTTGCTACAGAGGAGTCTGGATCCAGAGAAGACTTTGGGACTAGTAGATGTGCTCTATACTGCTGTGTTTGACATACCACGGTGGAAGGAAGGAAGGTACATCTCCTCTTGAGCCTGTTGTTTAAACAAAGTCATCGCTGTTGAAAAGACTATACTGAGGAATTTAGTTTCTGGTTTTCTGGTTAACCAGAAAGAGAAATCACTGGTCAAACAAAGCAAGAAACTTGTACTCTATATAGGTAATCTTGTGAGTACGTTAAAAAACCAAACAAAAAAAACCTAGCAGTTTACCTATGTGCACAAAAATATTTTTCTCTTGCATAAAAAAACCCACTTGATTTATATTAAATAAATATTTTCATTTGTATCTTGAAGTGCAATTAAAAATTCTTTAGGAGAATAGTAAATGCTACTGCATATCACAGAGTTACAGAATAGTTGGGATTGGAAGGGAGCTCTGGGGATCATCTCGTCCAACGTCTCATACAAGCAGGCTGCTGTAGAGCACATTACCCATGACTGTGGGTAGTAATAGTTTGAATTGTTATTGTGAGTAGCCAGTGAACTAGCAATCTAATAGAGGAGTCCAGTTTTATTTCTTCCACTTTCTATTGCCCAAATGCACGTTTTTCTGCAAAATAAAAACTCAGTTAAATGTCTTTACGTATCCAGTGCAGCGTTAGGATAAATGGGATTTGTTGGGTGGTTTGATACATGTTTTTGTTGATGCAGGGAGCAAGCTTTGCCTTGTATTCAGATCCAGTTGCAGCGTGAAATCTCAGACTTTGGGAACCAAGTTGACATGCCATCTGGAAATGGAAGCAAATCTTCAGGTGGTCTACAAAAGACATTTTCAAAACTGACTTCACGGTTTACAAAAAAAACTTCCTGCACCAGTACAAGTAATAGTGGAAGTTATTCAATCCCCAGTACACCTTCCAAAAATGTCTTCATAAGTTCCAGCTCAGAGGAGAAGGCTAAAATGCCCACTAACATAGATGCACGGCTACAAAGCATTTTGAACATTGGTAACTTTCCTAGGACCACAGATTCACTGCAGTCAATCCAGAGCACAAATAATCAGATAGTAAATGGGTTTTTAGTTGAAAGACAGGACAACTTCTTCAAATTGGATGAAGGCAAGGATGACAAAGGTATGAATTTACCAACTGACCAAGAAATGCAGGATGTCATAGATTTCTTGTCTGGTTTCAACATGGGCAAATCCCAGCAGACTTCTCCAATGGTGAAAAGAAGAAACTCTATTGCATCCTCTACAGCAGCAGAACAAAAATCAGGAACAGTACAACAACAGCCCCAATCTGTCTCTCACACACCACTGCATCCTTCTCAGCAAGGCTTGTCACAGCAACAACAGTCACAAAAGCAGCAGCAACAAATGCAATATTACCAACATTTGCTTCAACCTATCGGACCACAGCAACGTGTACCTGCCAAATGGCTGACTAATTCTTCACAGCAGCCAGCCCAAACTGTTGGAGCTGGATTATCTCATTTAAACCAGTGGAATAATCCTGGTTTTTCAGATTTAAGCTCTGACTTGTACAGTTTGGGTCTTGTGAGCAGCTATATGGACAATATGATGTCAGAGATGTTAGGACAAAAACCACAAGGACCTAGAAACAACACATGGCCAAATCGTGACCAAACTGATGGAGTGTTTGGAATGCTGGGAGAAATTCTGCCCTTTGACCCTGCAGGTGTGTGTGCTTTCCTTTATTACTTTTCAGGGAGATCCTATTACAAATAGAAGAATACTGTTAAATATTCTTAGCAGTAATTATTTCCTAGTACTATTTACCAGATGCTAAGGTTATTAAAAATAGAGACAGGTATTTCTGTATGCCTTTTTTTTAACGTAGGTTGAAGTGAAGTACAAAAAAAAAGTAAGTAAAAAATGTCATTAGGTTTCATTAAAAAATCAGAATTTTAACAAATTCCATGTTTATCTCAGTGGTAGTTCTTACCTTTCCTATAGGGATCACATAGAAGTGTTGAAACTTACAGATAACGCTCTTCCTGCTGTTAATTTTTGAGATTGTTTAAAAGAATAGCATTCAGATCTGTGTATTTTGCCTCCCACATCAATTATTCTTCCTGCTCTTTACCAGTCTTGCACTCTAGAGGTACGATTGAATTGCATCTTTCCCATATCCCTGCTTTCCCCCTTCAGTGTGAGAATCACACCAATTCCTGCTCTCCGGCTGTTATTGCATTGAAAAGCTTGGATGCTAAAGGGTTAGAGACTAAGGAGCAAGTGTCATGTGGTTTGCCAAGTATGTTGGAACCACTGGTAAACTGTAAATGTATGGGGATTATTATTAAAGATGAAGTGAGATAAAATTTTATGGTTATAAGCAAACCACTTAGAGGCTATCAAATTGATTATAGAATCTGGGACTAAGAGGAGATTAGTGATACCACTTGAGATCACCAGACCAGTCTGTTCTCTTACAGATGTATCTGTTGGTGTGGAACGTAGCTACAGGACTTCATACTGTGCATTTATTTAAAGTGCCAGAACAATCTTTTCTAAAACCACTTTATCATTTTTCTGCTGCTACCTGTGTGTGTGTGTGTGACAAAAAATCTTCAACCAAATAGATTGGAATTAGAACCTTTCTTCATATAACATGCCAGGTTGAACTGTGATGTCGTTTGAAATCTAAGCTTCAGTTAGTGTAGTACAGAAAGCTTTAAATACGCACACAAAAAAAATCATTTTCTGATTTCCTTAGGAGTTGTGCTCCTAAGTCACTTGAAACAAATTGGGTTACTTGATGAGTATTTTTAGTCTGAAAATAATGACTTTTCAAGGGAAAATTGGCTAATTAAGAATTTATAGAATTGATGGGGTTTTTTACGGTCAGAGGCTGAAGTGACTGCCAAAAATGTATTCTGCAGTATTTTCATAATCTCTAAGGAATGAATGCGGTATCAGTAAAGGGAAGATTGATGCATCTGTATTTTTACAGGTGAACCTATCTCATGAAAGGGTGTTTATCTATTCTTACAGAGGTAAAATTGACACAAGTTGCTATTTTGCATATAACTGTAATTTAACACCTCATGCTACCCACAGAACAAAACTATTCTTGCCCTTCAGAACCTATCCTTTGATCTGAGGATATGCCTAACTTCCAGCCTCAGATTAAATTGACATAAAAGTATTTCTCAAACTAAGTAGTAGTGGCAACACTTTGTTTCTGTACAGCTGTCAGGCAGCTCTGTTCCTTGTTCATACAATAAAGGATGTCTAGAAACAAAGGTAACTTATCTGTTTTAGTTTTAATTTGAGTGCACCAGAACATTAGGGCTCTTCTTTTGTAAATGTGCTAAAAAATAAAGCTTTCCTTCAAATGCTGAACTGAACATAGGGAAGCAATCAGATGAACAAAAGGTATTTTGATTTGTTTTCCAAGCTGTGCACTTTAAGACTTTGTGTGTTAAAAATTACTATTTGTTTTCAGTAAATATCAATCTTACCCTGAACTGCTTAGTACTTCAGGATCAAAATGTTTTCAGAATGGCTGTGGTCTTTGTAAGAAGTAGGAGCTTCTGGGCTGCATGTTTTAATGAGATCAGACTGAGCGTTTGGTCTCTTGAGAAGCAGAATCACAGCATGGATGGAAATCGTTTTGTGATCCTGAATCAACAGTAATAATTCAAATATTGTTTTTCTGACAATGGATAAATGTCCAGTCTCCAATTTAGTCAGTATCTGATGCCGGACATTTAAGGGCACAGGCATGATCATAGTCACAAAATACTGCTCTTCAGAGGGGATGCAAGGGACAGGTGTAAAAGATGAGAATTCCAGATGAGAATTATTATCTACCATGTACAACACATCTGCTTTTTATTAAAACATTTCCTATTCAGTGTTCAGTGCTCCATCAAGAAGTATAAATGGTTTAGCATAAACTGTCAGTGAGAAGGAACTTCTTTTCTATGGTCAGGTCTAAAGGATTAAATGAAAGAGTTAAATGATGAATGTCAGCTACTGACTTCATGATTTCTTTTATTTAGTTGGGTCTGATCCGGAGTTTGCCCGCTATGTTGCTGGGGTCAACCAGGCTATGCAACAGAAAAGGCAAGCACAGCACGTCCGTCGTCCAAGCAACACACGAAGCAACTGGCTTCTGCCTGATGACCCTCACAAAACCTGGCCCTTTCCTGAGTATTTCACAGAAAGGTAAGAGAATGGTCGAGCCACTTTGTTTTCAATTTTTTTTATTTGGGTCAGTTCTACACTCGAAACTTGGCAGGATATGGGAATAAGAGCTGTGTTTTTTTCTGATTGCTGCTGCACCAGTAAAAGCTGCAGCTCATGGCAAGAGTAAAAAAATCTGAGCCCTTTCTGCTTTCTTGGTACTAAAGAACTGGCATTTGTTTGATACGATTCTGAAAGTAGAATGCCTACTAAGTTTGACTCAGAGGATATGAGGACTTCACAACAGATTCATTTGGAATGTTCCTATTTCAGTATCTTTAAAATGTTTAAGACCTAGTTTTGATGAGGAGTGATTCTATGAAAGTTGCAGCACCTGACTTAGTTCAACTGAACAGATTTCAGATGCTTAATCTTATTACTTTAAGGCATGTCACCATACCTTACAGAAAGTTAGTGGTTTTTAATGTCTTCCAAGTTGTAACTTTATTATGAAACAAGTGTTTCAAGATCCTCTGTCTGTTCATCTACATAGCTACAGCTATGAGTCTAAGGCTAGTTTAAAACCAGTAGGACAAGGGTGTTTTCTAGCTCAGTTATGCAGTGAAAGAGCTGAGTGCTTAGTGACTGCAAAACCAAGAATCATTTGTTTTTCCTTCTTAACCAGGACAGACTGTGTTATTTTAGTAGAATACCTAGATATAAACTGATTGTAACAGACAAAGCAGCGATACAATCACTCACAAGTAAATACATGAAAGTATTTGTGTTAGTTCTACATTTAACAAAATACTGAAATTTCTTTGTGCCCTTGAGGTATCATCTGTCACTGAGATTCAGCATAACTAAATAGAGCATACGGTCTGGACCAAGCAGTATAGATAGAAGAACTAATAAAATGTTTTGTCTTACAGTGATGTGACAAACAGCTGGTCTGGTACTCAAGGAGATTCTGCCAGCTCGAGTGATGAGACCTCCTCAGCCAATGGGGACAGCTTGTTCTCCATGTTCTCAGGGCCAGACCTCGTCGCTGCTGTAAAGCAGAGAAGGTCAGAATAATGAACAGAAATACGTATCACTATATAAAAATTTGGGGTGTTTTGATAATTTGAGGGCACAGGTAATTGACTCCTGTCAGTCAGGTAAAGTTACATGAATGTTGGTTTGTGTGCTACACACAATCAGTGAATCAGTGTATACTGTGTGTGATCTTAATGCTAGGGGTTCACAAATTGAGTTACATTAGCAGCTAAATCTTAATACACATTAACATCTGTACAGATAGCCAGCTGCTGGCTGAAACTGATGATGCCTAGATGGAGCTGACAGTCTCCCTGTAAGATGGTCTGTTTGGGATGGCGCTTCTTCCTAAAGTACTGGGTCTTAGAGATGATCTTTGAATTGGTTTTATGAACTGTACTGCAGTGTAGCTTTTATGAAACAAGTGTTTCAAGATCCTGAACTGCCCCTGCACAGCATTTTGATACCAGCAAGTTCCTATTCCCTGGCTTCTCTGCAGCTTTGTGGTACTTGATAATACTACCCTGAAAGTGTAAACTTCTGTCTAACATTGCCCACCAACACCATTTCAGTAGTTTAAAATACTTAAATACTGACTATTTGCTCCTTTTCTTTCTGATCAAAGAGGGAGTTTAATTATATTCCTAAATAAGCTCAGTAACTTAAAAACTAAGCTAGGATTTTAAAATATGAATTATTAACAAGTGAATTCAACTAACTATGAATACACTGAAATGTAATAGTATAAATTAGAATGCAGTTACTTCCAGCTTTCCCAAAGGGCTTATAGCTCTGTCTTTGAAACCTCAGTGATTCCATGCTAGGGGTTAGTTAAGAGGATAAAAGGCACAACAGAAAGTATGAATTCCCACCAAATGAGGCACAAGATGAAGCATGATTTCTGACCAACTTTCAATCTGGAATTAAACTCTCAGCTTATTTTTAGAAAAGGTTTTAAAAAGTAAAATATTCAGTGACCAAATACTTTTAAAATTAATATTTGATCAGAAACAAAATCAGAGTTGATGCATTAGAATACAGCTGTCTACTCTTGGTGACAGGAAAAAAATCAGTGGCCACACCAACAGTTTTCTGCAGATTACCACAGAAGTTATTTTTATATGCACTGGGGTAAAGAAAGTATGCTGGGGTAAAGTAAGATGAAACTAAGGCAAACAAGTTGAAAGGACTTGACTAAGCCAGGAGGTGCTTTCTGAATTTGTACCTTTACCAAAACTTTTAAGAGGGGACAAAAATAAATGCTGAATTGAAATAACTGGGAGATCGTTGTCAAATAAACATCACAGCAGAAGACCAGCTCATCTTCCTTGTTCATCTCCGCAAAAACGTGTTGTTGAAGCTGTTGCTGCACTGTCAAGTCTCTGACAGTATTCAGTAGCAAATTTCTTGCCGCAGTAACTTGTACTTTTACCTCTATTAAGAAAAAATGAGATGAAATGCCACTATACATTCTAGGCTGTTAAATAAGACAGAGCAGAACTACAGAATGGTATTCTGGTGGCAGATTAATGCATGTGACTAACCTAAAAACAAATCAAACTAAATGTTGCTTTCTTGGGGCAGAAAACACAGTAGTGGAGAACAGGAACCTAGTACACTACCATCACCACCTCTTCTTTCTGCAGTAGATGACCGTAATCAGGTAAGTGGAAAACATCTTTGTCTAGTGATTTGTCCTGCATGTGTTTTGGAGTGGTTTTCTTTAGGAAATCAACTAGAATAGAAGCTGTAGCTCCATATTCCTTACCTTGCCTAAAACACAAACAATTTGCACTGAAGTAGTACTAGATTCTTCTTTTTTCTTTTTTAAATGAAAAGTACCAAATTTAAAATAGGAAATAATTGAACTTCTCCCTTGTGGCAGAAATTACAGCAGAAAACACAAACATTCAAGTTAAGCTAAGAGACAACACAGTCAACTTCAGTTTACACAAACAATGAAAGTTCCACCAGATTGGCCCTTGAGGCCAAGAAGGGCAGTGGCCAGCAGGTCAGGGGAAGTCACCCCCCGCCCGTACTCTGTCCTGGTAAGGTGACGTGTGGAGTACTGTGTCCAGTTCTGGGTTACCCAGAAAGACAGGGAACATCTAGAGAGACCAGCAGGGGGCCACAATGACAATTAGGAGCCTGGAGATTTCTCTTAGGAGGAAAGTCTGAGACCTGGGATTGTTCTGCCTGGAGAAGACGGGGTAGCGGAGGGTGGTGGGTAGCTGTCAATGCTTATAAATTCTTAGAACACTTAAAGGGTGAGAGTCCAGCAGCAAGTCAGGGGGCAGTGGGCACAACCTAGAACACAGAAAGTTCCATTAGGAAACAGAACACTGAAATGGGCTGCCGAGAGGTTGTGGAGTCTCCTTCTCTGCAGGTGCTCAAACCCTGTCCAGATGCATTCCTGTGCACCCTACTGTAGGGAATTGCTGCAGCAGAGGGGTTGGACTTGATGACCTCCAGAGGTCCCTTCCCACTCCTACAGTTCTGTGATTCTGTTAATTACCTGCCTTACTATAAATTGTAACTTTCAGCAGGGCTGCTGGTCATCAAGCAAATGTGCTGAATAAAGGTTTTTCAAGAGGCAAATACTGTATGGGCTATGAGTTGTATAAGTTGTATATATGCATCAATTCTGTTTTTAAAGATTAATCCTCTGAAAATGTTGTAGTTAAGTACTGTCTCAAAATAAAGTACATGGATCAAAAAACAACAAAACAGAAAAACCAACCCGCTTCACAAACCAACAACTATTTCTGTTTTCTCAGGATAACAAAACCAAAACGTGGCCTCCAAAGGCACCCTGGCAACATACGTCCTCTGTGACGAATACACTACCCAGTCAGAGCACTTCTCTGTACCCTATGAGCAGCCCTGTCAGCCAGTGGAGTGACACGATGCAGATCCTTCAGTCACCCGTGTGGGCAGCAGCCAACGACTGTGCTCCATCGACAGGCATTTCCTCTAGCTTTGCCTATGCGCAGCAGCAGCAGCAGTCACAGCAACAGGCTTCCCAGCACAAACAGATGAATAAGGGCTTTAAATCTTTTCCTGTAAAGCACGAACGCAGACCATCTTACCTGCATCAATACTGATTGCTTTTCATATTGGAAAATGCAGCACAGGGCCAAATAGTTATGAAGTACGTGTACTTTTTTCACAATTGTATGTTGGCTATATCCTGTTCATCTTATTAAATAGGGAATCGAGGGGGGCTTGAGGAGAGGTATAAAAACTCTTGACTCTTATTTACAGTGCTGAGCAATATGGCCAATATGTTTGTTTGTACATGAAACAGCCCAAAACTGTGATGTAGAAATGCTTTTAAAAATATCTATATTGCCTTTACTTTCAAAAGCTTTTTTTTAAAAAAGAAAACTGCTGAAGGACTACCATACAAAAAACACTGTATTTTGTAGCTATTTTTCATATAGATTTATAGTTGACATCTTACTGAAACACAATGAATATGTTGAAGCAAACATACAGTGGTCACTTTGCTCAATGCTGTGTTTGAATTTACAATGGACAAGCTGGAAAGCCTTTGTTTCTTCCATAAATGGCCTGTGGGCAACTTTTTTTTTTTTTTTAAATGATGTGTAAGTGCAGCTTTTCATGTGCCACACAAGCGAGTTCATTATAGAACTGTTGCAGAAGCAGTTGTGAAATTGAGTGTTGTGGTAGTTTCCTTCCTCAAAGTATAGATCAGCAGAACCACTCAGATTTGTGTCACAAATGTTAACTGAGCTGCTTACAGTAGATGGCACCTGTGTGGATGACACTGGTTTTCAGATAAATACATTTGTTAGTGCTTCATTTGGCCAAAGGCATTATCCACACAGTACTCCTTCCTTAAGTGTGTGAAAGTACAGCCTGAAAGACTACTTGCATATATTTTAAAGTCTTATTTCAGATGCTAGTTGATTTAAAAAAAAAAAAAAAAAAGTTGTGAGCTGGCTCAGAAGATATCAGAAGTGTCAGGTGGGGTAGCAGTTAGCTATAAGAACGTTATTTTTTTTAAAAGGATAAAGTAATTATTTGCAGTCAATATGTGCCATTAAGTGAACCTGTGGAATTGGGAATAATCTTCCAACCAAAGTGGGTCTGGGAGTGACTGGTGCTTAAAAAGTGAAGAACAATGGTAAATATATATATAGCTATCCCACTGTATATTAACTGAGATTACAGAAGATTCTTTATATAGTTAGAGCTTATTTAAATTTTCATATCTCATCTTTGAAAGAGACTAAAAAACCACAATATTTTCTGGTATAAGAGTTTTGACAGTATTAATCTTATTTTTGTATTTTTCTTAAGTCATATCATTCTAATATGTTAACTACTAGTAAAATGGGTTATTAGTTCTAACTACATAATTTTTCAATGAAGAGAAAGCACATTTGTTGTTTTTGTTTCTACAAACTAAGTACATCTATATCTAAAGATACCAAAAAATTAATACATATATATAAATAAGAAGTATACACAACACTAAAACTATTAAACATTTGGGTATTTAAAACCCATCCACCTTTTTTGTTTGTATGGTGATGGGCTGTATTTGCTGGCCCAGATTGTTACTTTTTGTGCTGTTTGAGGATGCCAATGTTGCCTGTATTTATGATATTGTCACCACGTTTTCTGAAAGTTCATACTTACATGTTTACAAAGATTTGTTTGCTGTACATAGACTTTTTACAGTAATGTGCTTTGCACAATCAGTGTGGCTTGTCTGTAAATTGTTGATGGTCTGTACTACTACAGTTTTGAAAACCCTCTGCTGAAAATGTTAGTGGTTACTTAACTTGATGAATGGTTTTGAGTTTCCTCAGTCTTGTCATTTAGATCTAATATTAAATCCTAAATTTGGTTGTAGTTACTGGTTATTCACACTAAGACCAAAATGGAAGTTAATGAAAACATTTTATTTTGAACTCCTCCTAACAAGTGCCAAAATTATTGCTATAGTTTGTGCAGCTGATTCATAATTACAAATGCTGGCAGGTTTCTAGATGTACAGAAGTAAATTGCAGAAACCAAGTCTGTCTGCATTTTGACCACGTAGGTGCTACTATGTCCTTCGCTTCCGATTGTTCTGAACACTGGTAATTTTAAGAGTTGTTGCACTTGGCAAATGAGTCTTGCCATTAAACTTCACTTACACTGCCAAGTGCAAGGGTTTGGTGCTTAGTTAACTTACCCTTATTGCAGTGCTTCTGTGAATAGCTAATGCTTCTGAACTGGAATTGTACATTTTGTATTTTAAAGCTTCTGTAAAAGTAAAATATTAGCTTTATTAAAGATATACATTTAATAGGTCATACCTGTTTAGAATATGCACCTTACTGAAAATGAGCAGCATCTAAAAATTGTAATTTTGGTTTGTAAACAAAGACCTTACTTCATTAACATAGGATTATTTAACAGTTTGAAAGTTGTTAGCTGCCTACTTACATGATATAAAACTGAACTTAATACACCATACAACCTGAAGCATCTTAAAAGATACTCTTTCATAAGAGAAAATGCCTTAACAGTATTTTGGACTATTAGTGCAGATGGACATTGCCATAAATAAGTAATGTGAATTTTTAGACAAGTAAATGATTTGAATGGGAGTGAGTGAAAACTTTTTTTTGGGGGGGGGGAAGGGGGGAGAATGAGGAGGAGGGGAGAACTAATTACTGAGGCTTGTTTAGCTTATGCTAATTGCATCACTGAAATGCACAATCAGGTGTAAAAATATGTATATAATAGTAAAATAAGCTGTGCTCTCGGTAGGTAAGAGTATAGAGGCAGACAGGTGAAAGGCTGACAATTACCCAAGGTGCACATGAGGCCTTGCTGATAATGCAAGAAGTTACTTGTTTACAGAATCTGTAGGGCAGAACATTCCAAGCAAAAATGAAAATCTTGGTGCAAGAGGGGTTAACATCAGCCCTCTTACTGAACTTGACAGTTGCATAACTTAAAAGCTCCTTCCTAGAATTCTGAAATTGAAGTCCTTTTGCAGTTAACACCAAGGTGTTCCTTTGTTAACGTGTTACATTAATCCAGAAACTATTGCTTTACAAAGCACATCTTCAATTTATTAGCACAATTTTTATGATACAGTGTACACAATAGTCTGTGCAACATCTGTCTCATCATTTCTACTTTCCCACCTGCTCACTGGTGTCCTCCTGTTCCACAATCTCAGTCATGAAACTCACTAAGCCTCACTAAGGCTGCCACAATCTTCCCAAGGCAGCAGTGGTGGTGTCCTGACAACTGAGCTATTTTCAGAAACACACAACACTGAGGTTTTCCAGAACTGAAAGCTTGGTAATCCTCTCCCTTAAGTTCTAGTTAATAGGAAGAAAGAAGCTATTCTAATATTAGAATTCACATTTTAACATAGTGGGATGGCTCTTTACCTGCCTTGTGTGACTACACTTTCTCCCTCCCACAGTGGCAATGTAAACTAAAGCCCTTCTCTGTAAAGCAGGGCAGCCTGCAGCCGGGTACGTGCAGTCACTCTGTAGTCTTCTGCGCGCTGGGTGGCGTCGCATCTGCAATTGTGGCTAAATAAATGAGGTTTCTGTGCAGGATATGCTGGTACCTATCAAGGAAAGAAAAACATTTTTTGGGAAGTGAGCGACTGCCTGTTTTTCTCGAGCAGATGCCGCAGACTGAAGCCGTCACTTCCGTAACCCGCTCGCGTTCCCTAAGCAGTCTGCGCAGGACCGGGCCGAGCCGAGGCCGCCGCCCCCCTCCTCCCCCCCGGGCCGCTCGGGGCCGCCCGCCCGCACTTACTGCACGCAGTCGGTGGCGCGGCCCTTGCTCTGGTACTCCACGATGCACCGGATCAGCTGGTCGTTCTCCTCCAGCAGCTACGGCAGACACCGCCGTCACCGCCCGCTTCGGCCCCGCCTCCCGCGCCGCCGCTGAGGGGGGTTGCGAGGGCGGCGGCGGGCCCGGGCGGAGCCGGCGCTGCCTGAGCCGTGCCGGGCTGTCCCCTGCCGCCACCCCGGGACCCCGCCGCCCGCTCACCCGCTGCAGCGTCTCCTGGTTCACCTCCGCCTTGCCGCGCAGCCGCTCCGGCACGAACACCACCGACATTCCGCCACCGCCCCGCGCCTGCGCTGGAGGGAAGCACCGCTCTTGCGCCTGCGCTGAGGGAACAGCTCGCCGCTCCCCCCTCCCCCCCCCCTCGCGCCCCTCCCTCCTCGCGCCCGGTTCCCGCTCGAGCGAACGCCGCCGATCCCGCCCTGCCCCGTGCGTCTGCGTGGGCACGAAATAACTCACCACAGCCTCGTTGTATTGAAGAATTTATTCCGGTTGAAAATAAAAACCCCTCGCTTCCATGAAACAAAGTAGCCCGCCGGTGGCCGCGCTGCCCGCTCCCTGCGCACAGAGCCCCCGCCCCGCAGCCGCCCGTACGGCCGCTTCCCGCCCGCAGCCGTGCGGCGGCCCCGCGTTCCCACAGCGCGGCAGCTGCTCGGAGCCAGCCGCGGCGGCGCCCACAAGGCAGTGCTGTTCACATGCAAAAACGTTACTAACAACGTTATCTAACTTCTACGGCTGCCAAATACTTGACCTTAATAAGGAAACCAATTACAAAATAGTTCCTCAGAGTGCTATACAAAAGTTATAAAATTAAGATTCTATCACCCACTTTAAATATTCCAACTTTCCAACAGTGCAGTTTTCTGCATCTTTATCACCACTGAGTACTTTGAAGTTAAAAAAAAAAAATCAGTAAATTAGATCAAAACGTTTCATCTTTGGATCCCTTTATTCCTGTGGCCTTCACATACATATACAGACACAAATGACCGGGTCTCTATTTCAGCGTATCCACAAAGTGGAACTAGGCATCAGAATTGGCAGAAAGTCCATACTATGTCATTTGCGGATGCAATGTCTTAGAACCAGGTCTCATCTTCTCCAAACTATGGCCTATCAAACGCAAACAACTCCAAACACTAATTCCTCAATTGCTTATGTCTACGGGTATTACAACAAAGTTAACGCTTCAAGAACTGACAAATGCAGACATACTTCTGGCCCAGGCATTCCAGAAGAACCGCTTTAACTCATGTGCCTGGTCCATTCTTAAAAAAAGGAAGTTAATATTTATCACTAAGTAAAATTAATTGAAAATTTGGACATATGAAATTTATTTTGTCCTCATTCGAAAAATATCTCTTTCATTTGGTCAAATCCTGTGATATGCCAGAAACTACAAAATCAATTGCTTGCAAGAGAAGCGAAGAGTGTATCCAGTTTTGTGTAATGGAAGAACATTCCAAATCTTCATTATACTCCAAATATAAAATCAAATTTAAGCCCAAAAAGCTGCTAAAGAAAAAACCACAACTAATTCAGTGTTCTTCAGCATATCAACTTCTGCAATAACACAGTATGTTTGCCGACTTAAAAATGTTTATTCTTTAAAAAATTAGTTGCTTTTTATACAGCTATACAAAGTTTGTAATGTTTCTTTGGCAATGGGATATAATGGAATTTTACAACTATATAAAAAGTTTCCTTTGCCTAAGAAACAGTATTTACTGTGTGTACATATCTGACTGACAAAGCAAGTTTTCTACTGTCCAGCACCCTAGTTGATAAAGTACAACCATCTCAAAAGGGATATTACAGGATTTCCAAAAAACAACCTTCAGTGGATCAAAACACTCACAGTATCGACGGCCTTCTGCATACAATTGTCCTTACAACTTGAAGCAATTATCAAATACAGTTTAGTAATAAGAAAAATCCTTTCAGTGATGAAAAAATACTTAAACTCCATCGAAGTACTGCTTTATAATTAACTATACATAAGAAATTACTTATCCTTCTGTTTCAAATATATTTAATGCTCACTGTTTTCAAAGATGGCCATTTTTCAAAAAGTAACTGCATTACACCCCTTTGAAATTAAATAGTTAAATCCCAGTGCTGGTGACAAGTATACAGCAAATTAACTTCATTCTTTGCAGAGATTGAAACTAATTCTCTGGATCAAGAAGATCTAGACGTTCACGCAGTTTCAGCTTTCCTGTAGACTATGCAGCAACTTTGTTGTCTTTCTAGAGGGAACAACAGTAGAATGTTACAATTAATTTTGCAAAACAAAAAATGACAGGTTAATTTGGGGAACAGCGCTGGGAGGAGATATGCTCCAACGGCTACTTTTGATTTTCTGAAATCAGAAAGGAGATTTCTCCAATCTCCACATTAGCAGCTGGTCAAAATACTGGCAAACACCGAGACAGCACACCGACTGAAGTTGTAGCACAGATCCTCTGCCTGCATGCCACCTCCTACTTATCCAGACAACTGTGAAACGTTCATTCACAAAAACCTAATTATGATCTTCAACTCCTCATTTCAGTTCATGCTCAGCTACTAAACTTCTTTAAATCACAGGGCTAATTCTTGCAATTTGAGGAACGAATGGCTGAGGGACAGACATCTTCAGTTATGAAAAGGCTTTAAAAAAAAAAATTGAATCTTCAATCAGAACGCAGTGATTTTGCACTGTAAAATTTCTTACTGCTCACAAGCTACCAGAAAAAGTTCTTCTGTCTGAGTCAGAACTGTAAAAGTCTACACTTACTTGCTTTAGTTCAGTTAATTATATTTGTTACTGATTTTAAAGTGTGCCCACATCATTTCTGCTCCTTCATAGGGTAATATTCAAGTTGAAGATGAGGTCTAGAAAAATAGCTTGCAATGAAATTATGAAAAGATTTTATTTTTGTAAGTAACCAAGCTCTCATAATTCATATAATCTGTCTGATCCATTAGCACTGATAAGAGGAGGATTTGGGGTTGTTTTAAGAAAAAGAAAGTGCAGCTAAGATACCATTAGCACAGAACACACTGCTTTACTAGCAGAGGGTGGCATCCAACTTCTTCCTTGGAATGACTGATAAGAAGAGGAGTTAAGATCTTCAACAGGAAAGAGGAAAGCGCATGCCTTGATAGTTTTGCAAAAGTAAACTGCCTAAGTATACTCTAAAAGAGAAACAGTGAATTCAGCCACCACAGCTTCTGCAGACCAAATTACTATTTATATGATTACATGATGATGAAAACGTTTGTGCATCAGGTTACTTTGGTTAACAGACTTCTATGGCAACCTGCGCATAATGCTTTAAGAAACTTTAACCCTCTTCATATTTACTTAAAGTAATAAAATATTTTCCAAAAGGTGAAAATAAGTATTATCTATGGGATGGGCAGTGATCTTTTCTGCAAGATTTTGCTTTATCTCCCACAGTTCCTTTTTGCTCTGAGTGGCTGAAAAAACAGTCAATCTTGCCTCAGCTTTCCCAGTAGCTACTGAGCTACAATATAATTACAAACTGTGTAACAAACTTACATATGTCGAATACATTTGACCTGTCTTTTGCAAAAGGTCATCTGTACACTTAAATTCAATTACTCTATTTTAAGGGCTATGTAGTATATTACAAGTACATAGGCACTGTGCCAGCTCATTCACAAAGAAGTCAAAGAACTTCCTTGCACACTACAAGTCTCTTCTCTGTGTTTTTCAGTATTGACTAGAGAAACGCTTGCAATTCTTCTAATTCTTCTCTCACATTAGATCTGTAGATCTCTCATATTTTTCTTCAAATCCAGCTACAGAACACATATTTAGGACATCGGATTAAAGGCAGCTTTTGGTTGCTGTTGACAGCCAAACAATGGTAAGTAACAAGAATCAACAGACTTTCTATTAAGTAGCTGAGTCTATCTGCACAATACTATTCAAGAACTTCTAGTTCAATATCAAACCTAAAAGCAGCAGAAGTTATACTACCAGTTTCCAAACACAGTTGATCAAGTTAGAGTAAGATTAAATATATTTTACCCTATATTCAAAGTCAGCAAACTCCCTGCCTCCACGACCTCCTCTGAAACCACCACGAAATCCACGGGGAGTAGTGAAACCACCTCTTCCACCTCCTCGTCCTCTTCCACCTCGGAAACCAATCCCCCCTCTGCCTCGGAACCCTCCCCGGCCACGATTAGGACGCAGTGGTATTCCAAAGGTCTCTGCATTCAATCTTCTTTCCTCAGCCCAGGTTGGTCGACGTTCCCTGCAACATACACAGGAACAAAGATTGTTTTGTTTTTAAAACACTTTAGAATGAAGGCTGCCCTGTTTTGTTAGAATCACCACAAAGGCAGTGAAATAAAAAATGATACATCATCATCATTTGTTACAAACTATGCTTCTGCAAAACCTAGATGTCTGCCACAACTCATTTCACTCAGTAACAAGAGGTGTGTTACAATATTGGTTATAAATCAAAAACACTCTAAGTTTCCTGTAGAGAACAGCAAGGTCTGTAACCTCTGCACACATGATGTATTAAAAAAGAGCCATTTGCAATTTAGAACAGAGAACAAGAAGTAGGAGTTTATAGTTGCATGCATTAACCTTATCTAGCTGTTAGTAAAATACACCCAACCTTCCCTCTCATCCCTCATTCTTCAAACTCAGTCAGCAATCCACATCAACATGCATAATAAAAAAGCCCACAGCAACGATAAGCTTCTTTCTTCCTGTAATGTTATCTTCCCATTCAAACAATACTACTTGCTAAGTTATGTAATCTACTTAGAAACCACTATAAAAGCAAAATAATAATTGACTTAACTAAGGTGCTAACTGCATAGCAAAGCAAAAAACCTAAACTGGAAAAGGAGATTCTGTAGCATATACAGTCAGAAGTACTCCACATTCCCATTTCATTTTGTCTTTGACATGCAGATGTAGCCTTTGGTGACTTTATTGTAATGAGTGGTGCCAACACAGACACATTAAGTACACTAACAAGCTTTCTCTCATAAGCTGTACCTATTGTCATCACAGGAGATGTTATCAAAGAAGGATTTGGTTTTGTCATAGTAGCAGTTGGGCCCAAGTGGATCTTCTTCATCTGCATTCCCTTCACTATTTTGGGTATCTACACCTGAGTCACCTTTGTCTTCTCCATTTACAGGCTTCTCTGGTTTCTCAAGCTTGTCTTCTGGAAAACAGAAGTAAACAGATTCCTTCCAGGCCATCAGACTAAACAGTACAGCAATATTAATTTATTCCAAGACATATATACACACA